GCTTCAGGATGAAGTCTATTGCCGAATAGCATTTTATCTATATAGGGTCACCTAACGAGTGGTTCAGATTATTGCACGTGTCTGGGACCGGTCCAGCAACAAGCGTTAGTTGACGGATTTCCCGTATTGAGCGGCGATTATCCAAAGCCCAACTTCACTGTCGCTAATTCATAGACGGGTAATGTTTTTGTGATAACGGCGCTCATTCTTCTCCCCTCATAACGAGTACTGTTAAACAACACAGAAAACCTGTTGAAAAATAAGCTTTACATTTTATGGTCCAACGGCTGATACCTAGATGAGCAAGAGCATTCTGGGTATTCCGTGCTAGGCGAAATTCCGATATGGGTCGTAAAACTAAGGTTAAAGACAAGGAATATTCGGAATATCCGAGTAAAATCGACAATAGATCAGGTGAGCATGTTTGAAAGCATTGTCATCCTTATACAGTGAGATACGGAAAAGTGAACTTCGCTGATCGTTGCCAAGCTCTTAACGTACATAAAGTGAGATAGTACTAGATGGATAGCGTTTGGGCACAACTAGAGAAAGACAAAGATATTGATCTCCTGTGGGTAACACACTAATTCGTGTGATTAACGGCAGACGGGAAAGCCCTATAGTCACGAGGACCTGGTGTTCAATGATGGAAGCCGGAAACCTAAGCCCCGGGACTTGCAGTGGCGAACCACATAAGGCCCCGATAGGTTAGGTAGTATTGGACCGGACGACAGCAAAGCTGCCCACCACCACAGTTCGGTGGCGGGGCTCGAATCGTAGGGTCCAAAGCACGCCTGTAACCGCGACTAAACCACTGCGCCACCACAATCTAAGTCCGCATACATCCTTTTCAAGCAATCTGGCCTGATAAGGCAACAAGAACGCCACTGCTATCGGTTAGCTGCCATATCCTTCAATGTCTCCAAACATCCAGTTGCAGTCTTTTGGACCCCAACCTGGAAGACGGGAGACACCCAATCGCTCTGTGCATTTCTTCACATCATCTGTTGATCTTCACATGGTTTCTCCCAATCAGGATGCGCAATGCGGTAGACGATAGCTGGGCATGTGCAATACGTGTCCTAACCAGCAAAGCCTACTGACATGAATTCCATGTAATAACGAATTTTCCATCACGTCTGTACCAAAAGTGTTTCAGCCCTGCGTAAGCTGCTCGTGCCTTGGAAATGCGGGTGGTTACCATGATTATGCTACCGTCAATTGTCACGCAACGACCGACGTAGGAAAAACATTCCACGATGGTTAATTCTTGACCATTAAGCATCATAGCCGCGGTAGACGATACCCAATCTTGTAGCATCACTTAGAAAGGCAAAGTGCGTATGAAATGGAGCTACAGAACTTGAAAGTCTATCAAGAGCACTTTGAGCATCCTCCATACATTGGAATAGACAACCGATGTCGTCAGCACACTCTAAATCTTATAGCTTTTCTCCAGCTGCCCATTCAATGCCATCATTTTGAGAACACTTAGTGCGACCTCCAGTCTACGATAAAGTTGAATAGGAATTGCTAAACAGAGCACCCTCGACGAACACCGCTCCTGGTTTCGAACGATTGGCCTAGCTCACGGTAGATCCTGACGCTACCCAAAGAATGCAGGTACAGTGATCGCGATGTTTACATACTTCTGCGAAGCAGTGAACTCATGGATTCACGGTCAACTGAATTGAAGGCTCCTTTCAGGTCAACGAACAATGCACATGTTAGTTGACGATGTGTGTGGCACAATTCCAGGACTTGACGCAGGAAGAAGATTTGGTGGATGCAACCGCGACCTGGTCGGAATTCTGCTTGCTGTTCGCGAATGTCCACCTTCCTTAGGATATCAAGCGGCGAATTTTCACATACGTTAACACTTGTGATGATCGGAACTAAACCAATTCCGCGGCAGTTAACGCAGTCGTTGCATGATCCCTCCTTTAAAATCGGGACGATCGTCCAGCATAAAGGGATATGCTCCTCCCACCAAATACTGTGAAGTAAACTAGTAATCAAATCAACAAGTCACCACTCAGCTGGAAAAGAATAAGGAGAAGCCCACCAGGTCCCGCTGCCTTCCCTTTCTTTAAAGGTTGAATACAGTTTTGTACTTCTAATTCTGATGGGGGCTCACATGTTATCACCCATAGAGTTTTTGCTACCATTGCCGGAATAACCGCATTACCACCAGGAAAATTGAAATGCTCAGAGACCAAGTCGTTGTTCTTCATTGTGGATCCTCTATCCCCGTTTATCGCAAATGGTCTCACTAACCGGTATGCGACAACCTCCAATGCTGCATATCAGGTAAGACAGTCTTTGACGACTTACTGATGCAGAGATTAGCTAGCTCCATTTCACCAGCTATTTTGACCTACCAGTTTTCGCGGTCGTTCTTGCCTTTTCATGAGCTGTCTCCTGCAGAAGCTGCCGGTTTCTATGTTGGTCGTAGCAGATCGGTATCTTTCGTTCGATCAGGATTACTGAATCCTGAGAGACCCAGTGTTTTAGACGAACTTCCGGCTCAACCCTACAAGCATCGCTACCAAATGCATTCCTCGTCTGATTTGGTCTATTCCACCACCTCGCGGTGGCCCTAGCTCCTGTTCAAGCTCCTCCTCATAACGTGCGTAAACAGATGAATGGTACAGACGATGATGAGCTGAGGGGGAGATTTTTGACGACGACCGATGAGTAGAAGCGCATTCGAACTAGTGTGATTCTACTCAATGGAATTTGCAATTTTTACTGAGTCACACCAACGGTGGCTTACAGCTATGTATTCAATTTGGGCCAGCTTACCCGTTGAATTAGAACACCATGTTCCCGTCGGACGAGACTTTTGTCAATAGTTGGTGCTAGATAAGGACAGACGGTGATCTACGCAGAACTGAAGTAGTCGATCATCGTTGTCTGTTCGCCCGGCAGGCAGAGCGAAGTGGCTCCCTCCCCCAGACAGGCTTTGTATGAGGTCAGTTTTCCAACCTGTGCTTTAAACTCACCTGCCAGCACTATAATATCAGAGCTGTGGTTCAAAAGAACGAGTTTGTGGTGAAAGTTCATCTCGTAGTGAATTCGGGCTGCAGTTAGTCGGTGCATATGTCGATATGATGAACGAGCACATTTTGGTGTTGCTGCCCTTCCGAACACTAACTGAGCCCTGGAGCCTCATTGCGCACAAACGACTGTTGACGGGTATCTAAAGTGAGGCTTCAGCTTTATGTCTGAGTTCGATTCCCATAGCACGCTAGCTCAAATAGGGGCTTCACCGTCTCATGATTTATAATGCTAGGATCCTGAATTCGGATCTCAGATACACAAAAGACATCAATTTTGTACGCTTGTTGAACCACCTGCATCAGAGACCTCATGTTGAAGGGCCCCCAGATTCAGTGACTGAACCTGCAATTTATTTTGTGGTAAGATACTTGGGAACCAACTTTGGCGAGTGACGAACAAGTTATCTGTTGGAATGTTACGAACCGCGGGGAGAAGGTTGGGTACGGAACACAGAGTTAAACAAAGGTCGAGATGTCTGAGCAGTAGCCCACTTATCAATACCCACCCCGCTCGATGCAATGAACAATACGGCCATGATTATCCTGCGCGACGACCGATGCAGTATGAAATTATTTTTAATTTGTTTGCTCAGTGGAGCTTTGTGAGCAGGTACTGCCAGGGAGTCCAACTACTAAGCGGCAGAACAATTAGGGTTATCAAACAAAACCTTTGGTTTCGACAAGAACCTAACCACGAGGCAGCGGGTAAGGTGGAATGGAGGCCCATTTACTTGGATAAATTACTTCTCTATAATTTTACCGACTGAGACGCCAACTCGAGTCGAACCCCGGAATTTGGAAAACCACGAGACTGACCCCTACTCTCTGACCTTCCAGGTATGATTAGGTCTTCGGCATGACAAAAATTATCCTGTGGCTCTTTGGGTCACAGAGGTGCAGTCTGATTGTGATGGTTTGAAAACAGCCATCTAACAGCTCATTGTTGCGTATTTTATTTCTTCAACGAGTAACGCTGAAATAAAAAAATACACTGGATGATAAGAAGAATACTCGATCAACTCACTTCATTTACAACAGCTTCATATATATACACATCATTATTATTTATTTTATATTTATGGTAGAGGTAAATAAGGTTATACAGAACGAAACATCTAACGACAGGTGGTTAAGATTTTCACGAAACTTTCTCCACCGGTCATCATCAGCCCGACAGTCCCTTCTGTAGTTGCAATAATAAATCCTGTAATCCACTCGTAGAGGCCGTGAAAATCCAACAATCGCTTATTTGTGCGCGCACTAAAAGGACTATTCACAGCCGTGAGTAGTGCCCCACAACAGTAGCAAAAGGAGAATGTCACGACGGCCTGAAAATTAGGCCGGATATCGGGTAGGGTCATTAGCGATTCTTTGCACCATTCCCTATGCGAGTCATATTTGGCATTTATTCATCCGCCAAAAACTGATAGGTCGCGAACACTACGAAGAACACGAAACAGCTAAAACACGACAGGGGAATGTTTGCCTTGTATTCCATCGGTGTTGTGCAGTTTTGTTTCACTCTGCTACCCAAACCAATCATAGAAAGTTGATCTGAGGGACCTCACCTTGGGTCTTTAACTGGATAGTTTAAACCACGAGGCGACGAAACGATGTTTTAAGTCCGCGATTTATTGGGAGCCGCTACCCCTTCGGTCGAATTATGTGATCTTTGGACACACCTCTCAAGTTTAGGGTGCCCAACAATTTTTTTCCGTGCCGGTAGTTGATTGCACCCCATGAACCGAGCTGTTAACACCCAAACTCCTGCTGATAGATAAATAAGATAAATCATTTAAAGCTATATTGTAAGATCATAGATAAATATGGCGCCATGACAAATGAATTATTAATTTAGGATTGCTATTAAGATGATAACTTTTCGTGAAAAACTATTTGGTGACTAACAGTACTACGAGACGCCACCAGATAGATGTACTAGGCGGCAAGAGGTGAAGTGGTGTTGTATGGGTCTGACTTGATCAGTGGAAGATCATACTTGCACCAAATAGAGCATAGAGCATCAACCAGTTGTTCGGTCAACTCATCCGTATGATGGGGAGACGGGGCGATACGCAAACGCTCATCTCCACGATCCACTGTAGGGTAATTGATCGACTGGACGTAGATACTGTGCTCCGTGAGAAGCTCCGTAGAAATACGGGTGCATAGCTCGGCATCGCCCACCTGCAAACAGAAGCAGAGGGACGAAGAGAGCCAGATGAACCCTGTCAGTTTGTCTATGATATTGCGTAATTCAATGTTTGAAAACCCGAATAACAGCCTACGAGTTACGGAAGATTTAGCTCAGGCATGATAGGATAAACATGGTCAAATAAAAATTTTATAGTTTCAATATTTAGAAGAGAGCTAGTTGATGAATTAAATCAAAATACGAACGGCCAAATGATGCACACGAACCTCCATTCGCGATACATACTACCTTGAGATAATGAATATTTCCTTTGAGAGAACGGAGACAAGTTGCCCACAAAAACTTACATGAAGCGGCAAAATATGCGACGGTGCTTGGATTACGGGTAGTCCTTCTTGTTGTAGACGTTCACGAACTATCCTTACACGTCTTTGATGCTCCTGACGCAGTTCTCGACCCTCTGCGGTTTTAAGCACAGCAATACTCGCCCTAGCGGCGGCCAGAACAGGCGGGGGCAGAGAGGTTGTGAAGATGAAACCGGACGCGTAAGACCGAATCATATCAACCAGCTCCCGACTGCCCGCAATGTAGCCGCCCACACTAGCAAACGCCTGAAATGCATGGAAAAGTACAGAATGAAAAACGAACAACCTCATTTAGAGCTAAACAGTAACAACGGTCAGCATTACTGACACGTGCTTATTGTCTGTTGTCATTATGCAAATCTGCATGACTTCTGCCATGAACGCGGTCTATTCGACTAGTGCCGGTGGATGAGTGATCAAGGACTACAATTCACAAGTGACGCAGAATTTATATCATCTGACTCATTCGACCAAACTGGAAGAATCTCATGTCGAACAGTACATTTAAAAAGGCTGGTTGAGTAAAACATGCCCTGAGCAGATATGATGCCCGAAACGCTATTAAATTTTTGAACCCAAGTTTGCGATCATTAAAGAACTCAATTTCGCTGTTATTTTGAACGGGCAGTGTACGGAGGTGTTAAACGGGATCGCAGACAAACAATTCTTACTCTAAGTACTTTCATTTGTTTGTTTTTATTACACACTTTCGTGTGATGAACAAAAGACGGGATAAACCCCATAGTCACTAGGACCTGCTGTTCAGTGATGGAAACCTAAGCCCCGGGACTTGGAGTGGCGAACCCCGATAGGTTAGGTGTGGTATTGAACCGGATGACAGCAGAGCTGCCTACCACCAAAGTCGGGTGGCGGGACTCGAACCTCGGACCATAGGGTCCAAAGCACGCCGGTGGCAGTGACTAAACCATTACACCACCACCACCCTAAAATGAAATGAGGCAGACCTCAATCGTGTATCTTGTCGAGCTCGCTGACAGACGTCGAATCGGCGGGGCGGGGAAGCAGTGTGNATAAGCACAAAGAGTGACCCACTGTTTCGTGGGCGCTAGAACTACGGCACAGTGTCTGAAAACCAGTTAATCCTTTATGCCATAAGGCAGCCTGTTATAACAAGGACGAGATTAAAGACAGTTTTCGCTGCGACCTCAGGTAATAATTATCAACTGTTTATGATCGCATCCCCGGCAGAACTATCGATATTTTTCGAATAAGAGGCTACTGTTTTGTTAAAAAGGAAAACCGGCAAAATACATTATTAAAGTGCTAACAGCATAAGTCGTTGCTAACGATGAATATCACGCAAACATTACCACCTTTAGAGTACAAACAAAGTGGTGAATTATTGACTAAGGTAACAAAACCGGTTTAACTTGATATGCCCAACCAGTGTTCGACAGGACTGTGTGAAGACGAATTGAACATGGCCGAAACTTTTACTTGAATTCTACCACTTTCATGTTTTAAAGATTGATTCCTACTCTGTCGTTCTGTGATGTCCTTCTCAGTGAATTGGATTTTTCTTCACGAGCTTCAACCAGATTCAAAATCATTCCCGATTATTGGTGATCAATAAATGAATCAGAATGGTCCTGCGGTTCATGCGAAACAATGCCACTTTTTGCTCTAAACTTGAGTGAATATTATGCGCGCTTACCAAATACTTCTTTCAAAACTATGTGAACAATCGCATTGGATTAGTTGTTATATGTTTGACTTCGTACTAATTCAGAGAATGGCAACTTACAACGGTCAGATTGGAGAACAAACGTCTAAATCAAACAGAAAGACCGAGTTGAACGCCGATGTAGTTTAAAAATAACCAGCTTTGTTAAACACACCGCTGTATTCATTGTCCTCGGCCGAGCATGCAACTGCTCATGCCTACATTTGCATCTGTGAGTGACAGATTGGTTCATCCAGAGACGACCCCCTTACCCATATTAACAACCGAATCACCTTTGATCAGAAACCAAAGGTCAGGCGTTTCTGTGGGGCCAAAAGTCAAACTCCCATTACGTCATTTTTCCTTGGTTTTCCATTGACACAGTACTATTATTTGTTTAACAATAAACAAATCAGGGGCACGTAACGACTAAGGCACCAACTAGGTTGTGATATTCGTAGAACATGAATGTTAGATTCCCTCAAAGTTAATGTAAATGCTCTACTGAACATTGGTGATTTATTTATTATGGATTACTATATTCCTGGTTAGGATTTAAATACATCTATTGTTATTATTTTGTTGTTCATTTTGGTGTTAAGAGACTTGCCGCACTAAGATAATTGTCTATATCTACAGTGATTGTTTTCTCGGGGTATGCGCACGCGGACTCACTTTTCCCAGAGTTCCTGAAATAATGTCGATTCGGTGCATCAACCCGTCGCGTTCTGCCACGCCGGCTCCATGGGAACCGTACAAGCCGACAGCGTGGACCTCGTCCACAAAAGTCAATGCGTTGTACTNACATCTAGCAATCTTTTCAGTGGGCATACATCACCTGAACAAAGCAAGGATGGGACGTTGAAAGATATGTTAAAAAATATCTATGGAACTGATACAGCAGGAAATCCATTCCCAAGACTAATCGCATCAAGAACTAGTCAGTAATTGGAAAGAAAAAAGCTAATATTTTCTATAGACTCTGGACAGTAATAGCTGTGAGCAATCGATTTTAAGCGTTCTTTACGTGTCCATCAATGCTTGTGCATTCCTCATTGGAACAGGCTGTTCGAATGTAACTAACGCATCCACCTCATCTCATTTTGTTACTTTTATGAGAACATTTCACATTGTAGGATAAGCTCGATTTATGAATGGATTATCATGAAGTATATTCGCAATAAGGTACCCAGTAATGTTTCCAGCATTACTTGATTTATATCACTAGTGATAACCCTAGCCTTTGCACAATCTAGTATCGTTTTTCCTACACCGATTGTGTGGTATCCAGCAGAAGGGATAAATCCACATAATCACAAGGATCTCATATTAACCGGCAACCTAAGCCCCGTGATGTGGAATGGTGAACTACGTAAGGCTCCACTAGCATATGCGCGGTACTGAGTTGAGAGACAGCGAAGCTGTCAAGTCATTCATATACTACTTATCGTAAAATGAGTAGGCCTTTCGCTTCTGGTATTGAAATTTGGTGTCCTCAACGTAACCGGAGTTAATTCAACGTTTTGGGAACATTTTAGACATACAGGAGGTGAACACATACTGCATGGATGCAACAGGGTGATTAAGCACGCTTCGAGTGTGTGATATAATGGCGGTCAGCGGTCAACATCCGGTTGAGCGTATAGCTGTTCACAGACATCAGACTGTAGCACATAGGAACGAAGCAACTATGAGTATGGCAGAAAATAATCAACCATACAACAAATGAGCTCATATCAAGCGCATTACCGAAGTTCGCACTTCAAAATAAAAGCAACAGACTAGAATCAAAGACACAGTAGTATTTTTTCGAACTCGAAATGCAACCCTGTGGCTAACAGCAACTTGGAGTATTAATACCGAATGATGCCACCAAGATGGAAGTTCGTTTTTACTCCTCAGTATTTCTCTAATATAAAAGAAATAAAAGTAAAGTTCGATTTGTTCATTTAAAACTCAATAAAGTATACGAGGTCGTGTTGATGGACTGTACAGATTATCATATAAAGACAGAAAGCACTCGTATTCATTCCACTGAGTTTTTCCAAAAAAGACACATGATGACCATCAAAGAATTGAAACAAAATTATTTCACAAGTTCGGTATTTACAGGAGGGATATTTCATTGATGAGAACGCCACTCGGGGTCTGAAGACGAGGGTAACAGACATTTCATAGGTTTACGGCATGTCGAAACTCCACCCCATGACGACCTTACCATGGCACAAAATGTCACAGATCGGGGTGTTAGAACCAGTCCACTGATTGATAAAAACACAGCCAAGGACAGTTCTGAACTGGTGGATACTTTGGACAGAATCAACGTAGAGGAGAAATGTATGGTTTCATTCTATATCCAATCTCTGTTTACTGATGCACCGTGAGGACATAAAAGTCACTTGCAATCATATCACCAAAGAGCAGCTTTGACTGAGTTTACCTGTGCCCGCCGTCGAACGTCTACAGCTGCTAGGAACAAACTATCTGTGCGTAGAGGTACAACATTCTTTAATAAAGGAAAACATGTGTGGGCAGAATTGACGTGCTCTCATTCAGCCATAGTTATATGATCATGCCAAATAAAGAAACAGCTATTCGAGCAAGTGAGTTGCATGACTTCCGTTTGTCATTTAACTTAACTTTAAACTCTAACCAAACACAGATCACGCACGAATGACTCATTTTAACTTCGATGTTTCTTTTTTAACATTATCATATAAATGTGCGTTTACGGTTGAAAGAGAGAGCACGCGAAATTGATGACCAGTATCAATTCTGCCCATAAGTCTTCTTGCGTTGATGAAATGAATAAAGGGAGAAAGATGTTCACAAATAACAGTCCGGAGCGTGCCACTTTGTACAGAACATATGTCCACGACACCCTTGTTATAAAAGTAAGCTTGGAAGAAGCTATGAAAATTATGGACGAATTCAACAGACGGAAAATGGAACCTATGCTCGACTTACACAGCCCAATACTTTTCACCTTGAGAGCTTTGTGTGCCTGCAGTGTATATATGGGGTTTTGCTCAGGGGCCATTTGACTGAACGAAGAGGGTCCGTACGGAAGACAGGATAAAGCGAGAATTGTGTAACTTACGGGAGATCTTATCGAAAAAGATTTATCCTGAGGCGTTTGACAATAGGCACAGTAAACCGAAAACTGAAACGGTTTTGTCAGCTACAAACATGCAAATACCTTTGTCTTTAATTCATTGATGACGGCGTGAGCCGTCTGCTTAAAATACGGCTGACCTCGATAATCGTCCGAAATTATTCTACAGCTACCCTCAAAATCGTCTTCCGGACAAACAATATCCACAGGCCCGGAAAAGAACATCTGCTTCTGTATACCAACTAGAATATGGCATACCAATTCTAATGCGGGTAAGCAGAGACCTGTGTGGGTAGACCAGAGCGACGATTACGTAAAACAGGTGGTTGGGTATATTTCAAAATCAGGTTCAGTCGGATTACATAATCGCTGCAGTGAAACGACAGTCGAAACTACAAGACCTTGTCGCCGGACATAGTTCGATATCTTCTGATGCCGAAGCACCAGGTATACCGAAGAACGGCGTCCCAGTTCAGCGACAAGACACGAATCACAAGATTGGTAAGGATCACAGAAACAATTGCTACCAACCGAATCGCCTCACGTGGCAACGCAAAGAACTTGACGTTAGTCCGTCCTTACCATAGTGATATGGTCCTCTTTACCCTCCACTCTTATGTTTGTTTGTTTTATTATTTTACTTTACTGCGTTGCCTTACCAAAATCACATATGAACATCTCGTTTTTTCGCATTATGTTGAGATTCAGCAAAATCGTCCTGGATATAAATCGAAGAGTATTGCAATAAGGTCTTTTCTTTTGAAACAAAATGAAGTTTGTCTTAGTCACACTAAAATCCACTGAGTCAGTTTTATCAGTTTGGTGGACTAGAATCATAGTAGTGAAGAAGACAGTAGAGAAACAGAAGGGTCTATTTGGATTAAAGCCATATTTCGATGAACCAACGGGTTCGTTCCAGCCACATTATAGCAAGCATAATATCTCCAACACAACTGAACGCCTTTGTTTGATTGTAATGTGGATTCTGCTCCAGGTTATTCGTTATCCAACTGACAAAACAGGTTGAGTGCTACCAATGGGTTTCCCGGATGATGGACAGAATCAAATGGGTAGGGCGCCTCCACTGTGGTTGGGCAGTGACTTCACGTCACAAACAAACAAATTCGAACGCTATCGAACTGTGACAGATTCCCGAGCTGATGGTCTATCAATTATGTCAGTTACATTATAGTATTGGTAGAAGGATAAAGACAAGATGTGGATCACAGATAACGGCGAGCATAAAACACAATAACTAGAGAGATTATTATTTAGTACCAAGTAGTAGACAGGTGAAAGGGATCTAAGTCCTCCAATAAGCACGATATGAGCTAAAATTAAAAAAAACCGCTCGATAATCACTGGGTGATTTTGCAGATGCCGATGCGTGAGGGGCCTGAAAATAAGTTCTTAACTGCACCTTCTGTTTTTCAGGAGTCTTTCCCTTCGAGACGCACATATGTGGAAATGCTATCCGAAACAATCGGTTATGAGCAGCAATTACCAGTTTGGGAATACCAGGAGGTTCTCTAAGTTGCGGATTGAACTGTTTTAGGAAAAGCACAGCGTATATCCCTCTAAAAATCGATTTGCTTTTGGGCTAAATATTCGAGATGTAACCTTCGAACATACAACTATAAGCAATTTTGTGTTGAATTTGGCGGCATCCGGGTCGAGACAGGGTTATGTGCACATGGAATTGGGACGCGCTATGCCTCGTTCCATCCCATGAATCACAAGTATAAACAACAGCGTATATAAGCCAACTGACGATTGCCAGCCCAACAATTGGAATCACCGATCTTCGATTGTAGGCCACATCGTGGTCCCCTCGTATGTCACATGTAGTTTGGAACGACTGGAGTTATAAAACAAACAAACACGGTCAGAGGACTACTTGTTTACAAAAAGCCTAATTGGTCCCAGTTGACCCAGACATTGATTATTGGCAATGCTCTGAACTGCTATTAACGCACTGTCTAAGCTACCTGTCTAACGGTATCCGGTAGCACTAGAATTTATCCAAGCTGTCATCCGATGGTGGCCTGGGTGAAAAATGAGTACACGAAGGTGACGGTGTGTGCGATCAGACCGAATCGCAATATTTTGATGTGATTCATTATGTAGCATGATTGTATCTAGGACGTATACCTGACTGAAACAGAAGAGTGAAATTCAGCAGTCGATGAACGGTGATGCGGTGCTAAGAAAACTAGACTGTGCGAAAACGAAACAGAGTATTTGTGGGTCAACAAAGAACGAAAACGTACCGGTCATTGAGTGCACCGTTTCAAAGGCAACCAATCTGGGTGTTTCCCGTGGTAGTGTGTTCAGAACAGATCGTAATTCATCGACGTCGTTGTGCCGGTAAATGCGTTTGGGCGCTCGACTGGTCCGAATCCCGTGAATCATTGAGGCGTGATTTCCCGCATCCGACACAATGGTCACCCCAGGTAGTCGTGTGCCCAAGGTATGCAAAGTGGCTTCGTTTGCCACATAGCAACTGGTGAAAAGCAACGCAGACGGTTTGC